CACTTTATGGTCGTAGACCAATAAACAATAAAATTGTTTGTTATAGATAATGTCCTATTAGTATATTGGTGAATACCTAATACAAAAACAAAATTTAAAATTTGTCATTTATTTTTTGGATCAAACAAGGTTTTGAAGAAAATATTTTACAGATTTTTCCAAGATTTGCTCCACAAACCCAGATCATCGATCGAAAAAGTGAAAATTTAAGATTTTTGAATACATGTAATAGTCGATTCCGCATCCCTTGATTGAAATTGTCCAATTAAAATGTATTATTTTAGGATTAAGAAACAACCCAAATTCGCACGAACCCCGATTTTCGAATATTAAAAAAAAAAAAAAAATTGCATATGGTGTGTAGATCGGGGCATGTGTTCATTTTCTATTGATGCGGGAGTGAATTTAAGATATAAAGATCATGATTTGGTGCTTCATTTCATTGTCTCCTTGAAGAATGTTGAAGAAATTTTTTTTGATTTTAATTTAATCTTATTTTTGGATTTTATTAAAATGTGATTTTAATAAAATAATTATGAAAATTAAAAAAAAAAAGAATTTCAAAAAATCAAAAATCGATTTAAAAAAATGAATTAAAAAAAAATTAAAAAAGAGGTTTGACCAAACATTTAAAATAAAGGAAAAATCAACCAATAGGATTTAAGAATAGTGATGGTCATTTTAAACATGACCATAGTAGAATTATAATATTTTATCACCTCAATTTCTCCATACACATAGTTCTAACAGGAATAAACTAACACTTAGATTTTTAAACAGGGTCGAATCTATATTTTTTTCATAGGTTGGTTCAACCAAAATGAAACAAATTATGTTAAAATTATTTATAAATTAACAAATTACATAAAATTACATATAAAATGACTATCACAGAATTTTAATATATTATCACCTCAATTTCTCCATACACAGAGTTCTAACAGGAATAAACTAGCACTTGGATTTTTAAACAGTGTCGAATCTATATTTTTTTCATAGGTTGGTTCAACCAACATGAAACAAATTATATTAAAATTATTTATAAATTAACAAATTACATAAAATTACATATAAACTTGATAGTCAAGAATATTGATGGGTCATGGAGGGTTTTTGGAGACTATCATGCCCTAAAAAAGGAGATCGTACTCGAAAAATTTCAGATTCAAGTTATTGATGAGAACCTAGATGAGCTACATGAAGCTTCGGATTTCTCAAAGTTAGATTTGGAATCCGGCTACCACCAAATTTGTGTTCGTGCCCAAGACACTCATAAAACGACATTCCGAACACATGAGGGGCATTCTGAGTTTTTTGTGATGCCTTTCGGGTTGACAAATGCTCCGGCAACTTTTCAATCATTAATGAACGGGGTTTTTTTACTTTAGTTATAGAAGTTCGTGCTAGTATTCTTTGACGATATACTCATATATAATAGAGAAGAGAATAAGCATAGAGAGCATATAGGGTTAGTGTTACAAAATTGCAAGGAAATTAATTGTACGCTAATCTCAAGAAGTGCGAGATTAATTGGTAAGAGTGAGATTGCATACTTGGGGCACATAATTTCAAGATAGGGTGTGGCAATGGATGGGAAAAAATTCAAGTAATCTTGGAGTGGGAAATTCTTAATAATTTTAGGGAATTAAGATGATTTTTAGGGCTAACGAGTTACTATCGAAAGTTTGTGGCAGGATTTGCCAAAATAGTCGTGCCATTGACTTCTCAATTTAAGAAGGATAACTTTGGGTGGTCGGAAAAAGCAACCACGACATTCCAGCAGCTCAAACAAGCTATGGTTTCGGCTCCCGTACTAGCAATGCCTAATTTCAAAGAAGGGTTCATACTAGAAGCCGACGCCTCGGGTTATGGGTTAGGCGTCGTTTGGATGCAACATGAATAACCTACTTCAGCAAGACATTGGTGGTGAGATCAAGAGGAAATCGATTTATGAGAAGGAATTGATGGCAATCACGTTGGCGGTCATAAAATGGAAGCATTACTTGCTTGGTCGTCGTAATCAAGACCGATCAACAAAGCTTGGGTTCCTTACACAACAAAGGAAGTTCGAGGTGACTATCAAACATGACTGAGGAAGCTTATGAGGTTCGATTTTTGAGATAAATTACAAGGCGTGAGCTTCGAATAGAGTGGAAGATGCATTGTCGAGGAAGAAAGGGGGATCGATATTGGAAGGGAACTCCACTCACTGCCAGTTGAGTTGGCTGATTTTAATTCAAGGAGTGGATTGGGCCTTGTTAAATGAATAGATAGAAAGAGATCCTTTGCTACAGGAAATTAGGGTGAGCTTCAAGGAAGGGAAATTAGATGGGCCCAAACATTACACTTTAGAAGGAGATACAATTATGTACAATGGGAGATCGTTTTGCCAAAGGGTCCTCAATTTGTCCTACCTCTCCTTAACGAATATCACAGCTCTCCAGTAGGCGGTCATGACGGTGAGACTAAGACCTATCTCAAGGTGGCGGCGGATTGGTTTTGGGTTGGAATGAGGAAGTATGTGAGTAACTTTGTGAGGGAGTGTGACACTTGTCAGCGAAGAAAGGCATCCCCGAGTAAACCATTGGGCCTCTTGCAACCCATGTCGGTGCCGGAAGTAATATGGAAAGATGTGACCATGGATTTTGTAGAGGGATTGCCCTCATCCAAAGGGGTTAATTAATTGTGTTTTGGTCGTGGTGGATCGTTTGTCAAAGTATGGTCATTTTATTGGGTTACGCCACCCTTTCCCCGTCTTGAAGGTGGCGGACCACTTTTGTGAGGGAGGTGGTGAGGTTGCATGGATTTCTGAGTTCCAAAGTGTCGGATCGGGATAAAATATTCATGAGTAAATTCTTGCAGGATATTTTTAAAGTACTAGGGACACAGTTTTTAGGGGGAAAAGGCAGGGGTGGTGTCGAGTGGGGAAAAGGAGGAGGGTAAGGTGTCATGGTGGGGGCAAAGGGAAGGGGTTAGGCTCACCGGCGACATAGGGGGTGGGCGCCGGTACCAACATGGAGGGATGGGTCTGGGTGTAGACAACCTGCTGATTGGGGGAGGTTGGGCTAGTGGGAGGAGGGGTGGTGGGTTTAATTTTTTGAAAAGAAAACTTTTGAATTTTTTTTTAATAATTAATTAACTAATTTTGAAAATAACCAATCCAATGTTGCCACGTGGCATTATGAACTTTAATGACTAACGGAGTTAACCGCCGTTAGTCATTAAGGGCATTTGCTGACATTTTTGTGAAGCTCGTGGATATATGGTGAATTTGAAAATTTCTTTGGATATATGTAATATGGTGAATAAAAAAAATTACTGTAGGATTTATGGTGAAAAACCCATAGAAAATACTATTTTATGATTGAAATGGTGTGGTTGAAAGGTTAAAAAAAATTGAAAAAGCAAAAATGAGTGTAGTTGGGGAGGAAAGAGAATACGAAAAATACTAAAATATAATATCAGAGACCACTAGCGAGTAGAAAAGTAGTTATAATATTATTAATTAAAGGTTTCAAAAATGAAAATGAAAATGAAGCAAGTAATTCAATCTTCCCTCTGTATATTAATACTTGCTCCACTTTCCTTTTGCAGTCGTATTTTATTACTTGCTTAAGTTTTTTTTTATGAAAACTAAAATTGGTAAAAATAATCACAACTTTCACGTATTCGCTTTAAATAATCTCAAATTTGAATTATTTTTAAATAACCCGAATTTTGGGGGTCATTCGTTCAAAGTGATCCCAACCGATCACCCAACCTGTTATAACAAGTTAAGGTGACACGTGTCACCATGTGATTGGTTGAAAAAAAAGAAGAAAAACTTACAAAATTTGAAAAAAAACAAAGGAAAACTTAAAAGCTTTTTTTAAAAAAAACTGCCTAGCCTCCACCCACAAACCACCTTCCCCACCACCACTGCAGCGGCCAGAACCCCCTCCCCCGCGCCGGTAGCTCCCATCCATGGGCCGGTCAAAACCCCCTTCCCCGTGCCGGTAGCTCCTCTTGCCTCCTTGTCAGCTCCCCTTCCCGACGCTCCTTCCCCCAAAACAACCAAACCCACCAACCTAAAAGTCTAAAACCCTTACAATCTCTCAAAATGACCTCCCGCCGCATAAAACCCCCAACTGCCCCTCCCCCCATCATCAGAACCCTAGCGCTAGGGTTACGAGCATTGTTATTAAAATCCCGATTTAAATCTTAGAATCTTACAATTTTACGGTTTACGTATGTCATACGATTCGATTTACGGTTCTACCCGATTTTACATTTTTCTCTAGACTAGCGAAATTCTTACAAGTTTAAAACATGCCTACAAGATTATCTATAAATATATAATGTTAATCATTGGTTGCATAATGGGTAAACAACTCTAATCTATCAATAATTAGGTTTCAAACTCATAGTTTATGATTGGGGGATTTTTACCCCGCCACGTGGACCAATCAAGACCCTCTACGTGTCATCCACGTGGACCAACCAGAGTCCGCCACGTGTCACTCAGTGAAGAGTCCAAAGTGGACCAATCAGGGCAAGGCACGTGGCAGAAAGATATCTAACTAGGAATGGCTGCCTTCAAAGCCCAAACTCCTAGGCAGCCCAATCAGTCCTAGGTTTCCGTAACCTAGGACTGGGCACATACTTCGAGACCCTATAAAAGGGAGATGTTCTCACCTGGGGAACAACATTCACAAACATTCAGTGAGAGCATTAATTGCAGAATTAAACACACTTGAAAGTTTATACTCGGATATTGAGGCTATTTGCTATAGCCGGATGATCATTCCTCCCCTAAGAGGAACCTGATCTTTACATCCCGCACTTTTTACATCTGAACACGTTCTAACTTGATCGTCGGAGGCGAAACTCCCACCCAACCGGAGACTCCGTTGTTTTACAGGTACAAGCGCCTAGAATCCAGTCTGAGAATTGTAACTCTTCAGAAGGACACAGAAAACCCCGAAATATTTGGCGGCGTCTGTGGGGAGACTACTTCTGAGATGGCTTCGCATGAGTCTGTACCACCTCCTAATGAGAAGCGGCCCTCGGCCGAAGTCCAGGTCTACTCAGACCAAGACAGCGGTGACGACTTTGACGTCGACACCTATGTAGCTGCTGATGGTTCACTCAGAACCAGGCACACCCGTCCCTTGGAAATAAAGGAAGGGGCAATGATCAAGCTGGTCCAAGTGATCCAACTGTACAGCCGACTGGATAAAACCAGGCGGCCGAAGGCGCAGCTCTAGTGACCAGAAACGAGCTCATGGAATTTATGACCAGCTTCAAAGGGAAAATTAAAGACTTGATCAACAAGCAAACGACTATCTCCGACAAGGAGTAGTCGGCCAAGAAGCCTTCCCATTCTGGGAGGAACAAGTATATTGTTAGATGATTTAGAGTGTATGAGAGAATTGTGATCATTTGATTTATTTCGGATGATTTAGAGTGTCAGAGTGGAGCGATCGCGCCATTGTTCAGCGCGCCCGCGCAAGGTTGGCGCGGCCCGCGTTAAAAGCGCGTCAAAATCGCGCCAAGTCTCTGGAAAAATGCAAAATTTTAACAGAATTGGGTAGGCGCGTCCGCGCGGCCTGGTGGCGCGCCCGCGCTGCTTTCTTTGTCTGCGGTTTTTGCGGTTATTTTCTCGGCTTTTAATATCTTTCGTTTTATCGAAAGGATATAGAGTTTTTTCAGATTACAGATTTCTTCCCATCATTATTCTCCACATTTTCTCTCAAACTTCTTGCAAACTTTTGTGAGAAAAATTCTTGAAATTTAGCCAACTTTGTGAATTGTTCATCGTATTTCGTTTCTAGTGCTAAGAACAAAATTAGCTGTCAATTGTATCTCAAAGAGGATTTCTGGTTTAACCCAAGCACTATGTGGGGGAAATAAACCTCTTTAGGAAAGTGTATACACGCCTTTGACAATGTATCAAGGTTTGAGACTCACGTGGTCATCGGTATTCTCATGTTCATGCTTTGTGTTGTCGGCTTGGAGGAAAGGCAAGTTTAATTTCTTCACACTAGTGTAGTCTTTAGAAATTTCTTTAATTTCTTAGTTCTTTATAAACCTTGATTAAAATACATTGTGTTGTATTTGATATTTACAATTTATATTGTAATCATATAATCTAGGTTTTGTTCCCACACAAATTTTAAGTGTTTTTCTTATTGAATTCACTGAAAACCTAACAATCTAAAGAGGTTTAATTAGAATTGAAATCAAGTATGTCTAGTGGGAAGGAATTAACTACGAACTTTGTCAAATTTAAAAAGTTTGATGGTGTTGAATTTCGAAGGTGGAAGAAGAATATGTATTTTCTTCTTACATCTTTGAATGTTGCATATGTTATAAGTACTCCAAGGCGGGTGAACATGAGAATGAAACCTTGGAGAACGCTCGGGAAAGATCGAAGTGGGACAACGACGATTTCATATGTCGTGGTCACATTTTGAATGGGATGGAGGATGATCTTTTTGACGTCTACCAAAATGTAGAATCGGCCAAGGAGCTTTGGGAGTCCTTGGAGAGCAAGTACATGGCGGAAGACGCTTCAAGTAAGAAATTTTTAGTTAGCAATTTTAATAACTTTAAATTTGTTGATGGTCGGTCCATAATGGATCAATTTCATGAATTGCGACGTATCTATGGTAGCTTGGAACAACATGGAATAGCCATGAATGACTTGTTTGTTGTTTCTAGCATTATAGACAAGTTACTTCCTAGTTGGAAGAATGTTAAGCATGATTTGAAACATAAGAAGGAGGACATGACATTGTCCAGTTTGGCCACCCATCTTCAAATTGAAGAAGGGATTTGTGCCATGGAAGGTGCAAAGGATGGAAATCCTAGCACATCTACCGTTAACATGGTAGATGAAGGAAAAGCTAGTGCATCTACTAGTGGAAAGAGAAAGAATGATAATTCTTTCAAGAATAAGTCCAAAAAGAAAATGACAGGTAAAAAGTTTACTTGTTAGGAATGCGGTAAAGTTGGTCACCGCAAGAAGGACTGTTTTTCTTTTAAGAAAAGAATGGAGAAAGCCAAGGAGGGCCGTGCTACCGAAAGAAAGGACCCACCCACCAAAGGTAATCCGTTTCATGAGGTTGAATTTAATTCTGGTTTGGATTTAAATGCAACGGATCCTAACATTTTTATGGTGCAAGATGATGACTCATGGTGAATTGATTCGGGGGCTTCGAGGCACGTGTGCTAGAGTAAACATTGGTTCAAAACCTTTCAAAAGGTTGTTAATGGAGAAGACCTCTTCATGGGGAACAACTCTACCATCAAGGTTCTTGGAAGAGGACAAGTTGAGCTTGTGTTTAGTTCGGGGACTACAATTATTCTTAGGAATGTTTTGTATGCTCCGGAAATTAGTAGGAATCTTGTATCTGGGTCTACCCTGAATAGTCTTGGCTATAAACTTGTATTTGAAGCTAATAGATGCATTTTTACTAGGGGTGTAACGTTTATTGGTCATTGTTATTTGGATAATGGTTTGTTTAAACTCTCTTTGAGAGACAAGTATGTATTTGATGATGATATTTGTTTGAATGTTGATGTCAATGATAATCATGTTGATTTTAGTATGTTTGACTTATGTCATTCTAGATTAGGACATGTGAATTATAATAAAATGCTTTTCATGTCAAAACAAGAATTGATACATTCTTGTGATATTTCTCCTAATAAATGTTCTACTTGCATATTGAACAAGATCACTAGAACTCCTTCTAAGAGAGTTGAGAGAAGTTCTAATATTTTAGAACTGATCCATAGTGACTTGTGTGATTTTCATAGTACTCCTTCTTTGGGGAACAAAAGATACATGATTACATTTATAGATGATTATTCTAGGTTTTGTTATGTGTATCTGTTGCATTCCAAAGATAAAGCTTTAACAAAGTTTAATATTTATAAAAGGGAAGTAGAACTGCAAGTAGAATCATTGATTAAGAGAATAAGAACTGATAAGGGAGGAGAATATTATGATCCAGATTATTTCTAATCTTTGGGTATAATTCATGAGACTACAGCGGGTTATGCACCACAATAAAATGGTGTAGCTAAAAGGAAAAACAGAACTCTTGAAGGAATGGATAATTCCATGTTATCTTACTCTGGTTTGAGTGAAGGGTTTTGGGGTGAAGCAATGTTGACAGCTGGTCACATTCTTAACCGGGTTCCCACTAAGGGAAAACAATCTACTCCTTATGAACTATGGTACAAAAGAAAGCCAAACTTGAAGTATCTCAAGGTTTGGGGTTGTAGGGCAATCGTAAGAGTGCCTGGCAACAAGAAAAGAAAGCTCGGTGAAAGGGGCTTGGATTGCATATTTATAGGTTATGCTAAGCATAGCAAAACCTATAGGTTCTATATAATAGAACAAAATGACTATATATCAATTCATTCGGTTATTGAGTCAAGAGATGCAATTTTTGATGAAAATCGGTTTTCATCAATGAGTAGCCCAAAAGATCTACAAATTAGTGCCAATGATAGGGAGATAGTAGAGTTGGATGATCAACTTGAACCTCATGAAGATACGTTCGATGATGAGAATGTTGAAACTCCTCAAGTTAGGAGAAGTACTAGGGAAAGAAGACCTAGGAACCCTCTTAATGACTTTATAATTTATTTAGTTGAAGGTTCTAGGATATCCTTAGTAATACTACTCCATATTGTTTTAATGTGGATAGTGACCCAAAGACTTATAGCGAGGCAATATCTAGTCAAGATAGTGCATTTTGGAAGGAAGCTATAAATGATGAGATGGACTCTATCATGGGAAATAATACTTGGGTCTTAGAGGATTTACCTCCCGGTTGCAAACCTCTGGGTTGCAAGTGGATTTTCATTAGAATAAGGAGACCGGATGGCTCCATAGTGAAATTTAAAGCCAGATTGGTTATCCAAGGCTTTAGGCAATAGCATGGTGTTGATTATTTCGATACCTATTTACCGGTTGCAAGAATTACCTCCATAAGGTTATTGATTGCAATGGCTTCGGTATATAATCTAGTGATTCATCAAATGTATGTCAAAACGGCATTCTTTTATGGAGATCTAGAGGAATAAGTGTATATGAAACAACCCGAAGGGTTTGTTTTGGAAGGACAGGAAGATAAGGTATGCAAATTGGTTAAGTCATTGTATGGACTTAAACAAGCACCAAAACAGTGGCATCGGAAATTTGATGACACGATTTTGTCCTTTGGATTCAAAGTGAATCAAAGCTGATAAGTGTATGTATAGAAAATTTGATGACAAAGGTCATGGTGTCATCATTTGTCTATATGTTGATGATATGCTTATCTTTGGTACAAGTCTACAACAAGTAGAATTGACCAAGGAATTCTTATCCTCATCTTTTCAGATGAAGGATTTGGGGGAGGCGGATGTCATTTTGGGCATCAAGATTATTAGGGACAATGGAAGACTTATTCTAAGTCAATCTCATTATATTGAGAAGATGATCAAACGGTTTAATATGTTTGATAAGTGTCCTGTGAACACCCCCATGGAATCTAATGTTAAATTGGTTAAGAATTCAGGGAAAACGGTTTCCCAATTGGAATATTCAAGGATAATAGGATCTTTGATGTATGCCATGACTAGTACAAGTCCGGATATTGCATTGGCTGTAGGGAAACTTAGTAGATTTACTAGTAACCCGGGTGTACATCATTGGTTTGCGATTCAGAGGGTCTTGAGGTACCTTAAGGGTACGTTAGACTATGGTCTGATTTATAGTGGATTTCCTTCGATTTTAGAAGGGTTTTCTAATGCTAGTTGGATCACTTACAAAGAGGATGACTCTTCTGTTAGTGGTTGGGTATTCATGTTTGGGGGAGGTGTCATTTCATGGTCTTCCAAGAAACAAACTTGCATTGCGGATTGCACTATGGCAGCGGAGTTTATAGCTCTTGCTTCAGCTAGTAAGGAAGCTGAGTGGTTGAGGAATCTCATGATAGAATTGCCTTTATTGCCAAAGCCAATGCCACCGGTGGCAATCCATTGTGATTCGAATTCGGCGTTGATAAAGGCTTATAATCAAGTGTACAATGGTAAGTCTCGGCATATTTCATTAAGGCATGTCCTAGTGAAAGAGCTTATCAATGATGGGGTCATAAGTCTTGATTATGTTCCAACAAAATTAAATTTGGCGGATTATTTTACTAAAGCAATGCCAAGGCATTCCATCATATTTGCTATGAATGGAATGGGTTTATGTCCAAAAACACGAATTTGTGAAACCCAATCTAACACTTGAAGAAACATCAAGTCTTAGATTCAATGTGGTTGAATTACATTTTTGTTGTTTGTTAGCAATGTTTGATGACCCACATTGCTATGGTACTTGTGATGTGAAAGGTAGCGTCTAATTTAAAGTTCTCAAAGATTTAGAGTTGAGAAGCTCTAAATGAAGGTGTCTTATCACAAGGGCACTATTACGTATATCAGAACCTACCTATATAAGTTCAAAGTTTAGTTGCTTCAAAAAGTCTAGATGGACATATAGACTTTGATGAACTTATGAAAGATACGGACACATGGCTGTTTAAAAGTGTCAAGTGATGATTAATTCGATTTGTCTTGTGTGTACTTCACCTTCGAATGGTTGGATATATCCGTGTGATTCAATCCATATGGAAATCATAGGATATGATCATCGTTAAGTGTGTTGTACTAGGTGTTAATTCAATCCGAAGGGACATTAACATTGATGCATGAGATGTGGCTATGTGAATTGAAGTGGAGAATGTTTTAAAAGGTATACACTCTAAATGGGGGAGGATTGTTAGATGATTTAGAGTGTATGAGAGAATTGTGATCATTTGATTTATTTCGGATGATTTAGAGTGTCAGAGTAGAGCGCTCGTGCCATTGTTCAGCGCGCCCGCGCAAGGTTGGCGCGGCCCACGATAAAATCACGTCAAAATCGCGCCAAGTCTCCGGAAAGATGCAAAATTTTGGAAGAAATGGATAGGCGTGCCCTCACCTCTTTGATTCGCGCCCGCGCTGCTTCCTTTGTCTGCGGTTTTTGTGGTTATTTTCTTAGCTTTTAATATCTTTCGTTTTATCGAAAGGATATAGAGTTTTTTCAGATTACGAATTTCTTCCCATCATTATTCTCCACATTTTCTCTCAAACTTCTTGCAAACTTTTGTGAGAAAAATTCTTGAAATTTAGCCAACTTTGTGAATTGTTCATCGTATTTCGTTTCTAGTGCAAAGAACCAAATTGGCTGTCAATTGTATCTCAAAGAGGATTTTCGGTTTAACCCAAGCACCGTGTGGGGGAAATAAACCTCTTTAGGAAAGTGTATACACGCCTTTGACAGTGTATCAAGGTTTGAGACTCACATGGTCATCGGTATTCTCATGTTCATGCTTTGTGTTGTCGGCTTGGAGGAAAGACAAGTTTAATTTCTTCACACTAGTGTAGTCTTTAGAAATTTCTTTAATTTCTTAGTTCTTTATAATACTTGATTGAAATACATTGTGTTGTATTTGATATTTACAATTTATATTGTAATCATATAATCTAGGTTTTGTTCCCACACAAATTTTAAGTGTTTTTCTTATTGAATTCACTGAAAACCTAACATCTATCAAGGACCGAGAACCCACTCCGCATCCTAAATCAAAGGAAGGGAAGCGGCCCTTGATCGATCTTACAAAGATCCGATTCCCTGAGACAGGGACGAGGAAGGTCATTCGGCAAGTCCAGTCGGATGGCACAAAGAAGACTTATTCTGATGCTCGGATGTTAATCTAGCAAAAGAAGAGCCAACAGCTGTCTGAGTCGGCTTCAACATCGAGTTGTCCAGACAGCTTTCAGAATACCTCAATAAGGTATTCACAATCAAACCGAGAGGGTCAGTCAGGCCTGTCCGTCCACTCTGGCCCTTAGATAATCCATTCGGCTCCGTATGTGCCTCAGCAGCCATACATGTCGTATGGACAACCTTAC